ATGTACTGTTCAAACAGTGCTGACGAAGACTTGCATCAGGCAATCACACTTCACACAGAAGCGCTGAATTTGCGCCCAGTCGGTTACACACATCGGTCCCAGTTTGTATACCTCTACGCAGGTTGGAAGCTGCCTCTTCATTGTGGGCGGATTGGGCGGATATGACGGTGGGGCATATAGAGACAAAGTTGTATTGTTTAACCTTGGTGAGTGCACCTCCATGATTTCAAACTTTCATTCCTAACTCCCCAACCTGACATCCATTGTGCCCAACCCATCACACACCATGTCACCCATGTCTATGCACCTTCCATCGCTACCAGTGCCCAAAATCACACGCCACGTCATCTATGTTGATGTCTGCACCTTCCACCGTTACCAGCGCCCTCCAGGTTTGCGGTTCTCTGAAGTTCTTACCTCATCTTATGAAGGCCGCAACTTGATGATGGATATTTGTCGCAGCTCGGAAGCAGAGTTGGGAGCAATTGGATATCCTCCAGAACTCCTCATTTCAACGATGTCTCACTATGCTTTAGGTACGTTGTGCATCTAGACTCGACTCTGGTTGGGCAACTTACTTTTTTTTACCATCCTATATAGATACAGCCTCTCCAGGACTCCTTGGACTCGGCAACCTCATTGAGGCAGGCACCACTCCCGCACCATCAATAGGGTAGAGCACGGGTACAGGGTAAACCCGCAGGTTTATTCGCTGATGGGTATGGCGGGTACGGGTACGGTGTGGATTATGGAGACCCACGCGATACACCGTGCATACCCATCGTGGTTTACAGTGTTGTATGGGTGTGGATCCCCAACTTATCCGAGGATGCGAGGGTCAAAATTTCATTACTCATGAAGAACCTCCCAAGTCGGATCTGTCACCCTGCTTCGACCGCAGGTTCATTGAGTAACAGTGTCGATTCAAAGTGATAGTCGATGACACAGAATACTATTCATCTTCCTCTCGAGCGCTGTTCAAAGAAGGCTGATGAGTCTTCCATCCGATCATACTCGTCAAAATCGTCTTCGATAGCATCGTCTCTGGGGTCTGTCAGCCAGGCAGTTGAGCAGAGTGTGGATATGCTTACCCGTCCTTTGAAGAGAGTGAAGCTGACTGTCTTGCGCTCGAAAAAGACATTTCCATCACTGCCATCATCCCCCGAACCATCAGTAATCGATGTTGATGCCATTGACACAGCGACAAAGTCTGTCAACGAAGAAGACTTAGATGCCGCACTTCGTAAGCTACTGTGATACTACTATGTCAGTGTCTTACTCACGGGTCTGTGAAAAAACTGCGGTATACCACGAACACCGTTCATACCCGCAGAATTGGCAGGTCAGTGTCCACCCGTACTGTGCAGGTACGGTGTTTACGGGTACAGGTGCGGTGTGGCTTCAGCGACCTGTGGGTTCACCCGTGCTCAACCCTAACCATCAACATATCATCCCACCTCACGAGTCCCCCAATCTACTAGCCATTGATGCATCAAGCATCTTAGATACAACTTGTTCTGTCCCATGTATGTACATGTGCAATGACATTGATATATTTCTCTTCGCGTGACTCAGCGGAGTGTATCGTCGCCGGGAAAGGTGCTGTTGTTAGTATTGTGGAGGGATACAGAGCTCGTAGTGCTGCCTGTGGTCAAAGTACTTCAATTATATATATATTTTGCCAGCTATAGAAAAAATTGGGTCCAGTTCGCGTTCGAACCGAAAAAAAAACTGAACCTGACCGCTGCGAACCGTTCGCAAAGGTTCGGTCCAAGGTTCGTCGATAAAGGTAGAACCGGACCTTGGTCCTGTTCTCGGTTCTCATCAAACTGCCTCTGAACCGGACCGAACCGGACCACGGCAGCACTATATATGCAATGAAAATACATCAGCAAGAATTGTGTCTAAATGATGTGATTTGACAATGTTGTTGTGCATCGACGCAAGTGATGGTGGAAACGCAAGTGGCGGTGGAATACTGTACGCTGCACACTGCATCCACTATTGACTTCAGTGTCAAGACATTGAAAGAAGGCCAACTCATCGATGTATAGCAAACCAAATTGGACAACCGCCGGTGGTTGTGGAAATGCGCCAGTCACTGCATATATCCTTCCGCTCTCGCTTGACCATGGTTCCCCAACAAGAAGTCCTGTATTAGAGTCGTCGTTTCACTTTCGCAATCTACCGCTCAACCAAGTATCGTGCAAGACGAAATTTTTGATGGCTGATGCCTTTTAGATTTGTGCTTCGAAGATTGTCTTTCGGGTTGCGGTAGGGGTATATTTTCATCAGTGGTTGGCGTTGAAGGGGGTTTATAATCAAAATACATGACTTTATCAATGGTGTGCATTGTAAGGGTTATGGGAGATGTAATTCGTCACGGTAAGTCATCTGTATCTGTAAGTATTCACTGTCACGCGATGTACTTATGAGCATGAATGTCCGTCTCAGACACAGATTGCTCTGTGGTGCCACCAAAAGTAGATTCGAATCCTTTATTGCCTTTTCAAATTTTAATTTCACAAGCTGTGGGCCTTCGATGAGCCCAGGCGTCAGGTATGCTACGGCATGTGGGTAATAGTCGAATAATTTCGATTGAATACGGATTTATTATTCAAATTTAATAGCTTGTTGCTCTACTGAATCCGGTTTTTCCCAGTTTCTATTCTGGAAGAGAAGCTCTACCAACTACCACAATAATTAATTCAGCCAAACCGGTTGGCTCAACGATTCTACCGCAACGCACAAGGTATCAATCACGGTTTAACGGTTCAAGTCGATTGTGAACACGTAGGGCTGCGTGAAGACCGCATGGCGCTATACGTTCCCTGCCAAGGCGACACACCTCGTATACATTTGGTTCATCTTGAATGGTTGCCCCAGAAACATTCATACGTCTCGCTATTTACTCCTCACAAACTCTTGCGGTGATGCATGTTCTCACCGCATTCGTGACCCTGCTTGCAGTGGTCGCCGCCAGCGGTCGCATGATGACCCAGCAAGAGATCCGCGCACGCCAACTCGAGGCAGTAAAACGTTGGCAGACAGGTGGCTCTCAGAACGTAAAGAGCAGCGGTGTTCAGAATATCACATTCACGAACCCAAAAGCCTCAGGTGATTGAAATGCTACAAGTAGATGTCTAATACGTCTGATCCATCTTCGTCCAGAATTTTATGTCGATGGCAAATCCCTTCCGCTTGTTGACTTCGACGTTGGTCCTAGCTGGGCAGGTCTACTACCCATCAGCAACAGTCCTAATGAAACGCGTAAGGTGTGTGCATGAGGGGTCTTTCAAAAGTTATAAGTTCTGATATCCTTGATATCAGCTCTTTTTTTGGTTTTTCCCTCCCGGTCCCCAAGGGAGTCTTGATGATTTGATCTTTTGGTGCGTCATCAGCGCAGCGTGCGCATCGCCGCTGACATGATATGTTTTACCTGAAGGACTAATGGTGGCCCTGGCTGCTCCTCTCTCGCTGGTTTGCTGCAAGAGAATGGGGTAAGCATCTTTGTCGACGGCAAGACTGATTCATAACTGAAATATTCGAAGCCTCTCAGTTGGTCCTGGGGTCAGGCCAAGCCGACGGTGAATCGATGGAGCTGGACCAACCTCTCCTCCGTCCTTTGGGTGGAGCAACCAATTGGAACGGGATTTTCTCAAGGCGTCCCAGACGCACGGAACGAGGAAGATGTTTCTGCTCAACTCGTCGGCTTCATGCAGCAGTTCCTTGAGGTCTTTTCGGAACTCAAAGGCAAAAAGCTGTATTTAGCGGGCGAAAGTGTAAGTTTTCAGAGAGTCCGGTAAAGCAATTGTTTTGACTGTGTTCAGTACGCCGGAATGTACGTGCCTTGTAAGTCAACAGTTATCTTCTTCGAACATAGCTCTAACGCCAATGAAGATATCGCAAACTATATCTACGAGGACCCGACTCAGTTAGACCTCTCTTTGCAAGGGATATGGATCAATGATCGTAAATATCATTTTTACTTGCTCCGTCTCTTCTCAAGGGCTTATACATGAAGCTCAGCCGTAATCTCGTGGTTCGTGGTGCACCAGGAAATACCTGCAGTAGACTTCGTGAAAAAACACGCTAGCATCTTCTCATTTGAGTCTGTTCATTTCACTTGGACCTAGTTTGCAAGTCGCTCACCAATAGGATGCAGGCAGACGTTCATGAACCGCCTCGAGGAGACGGCCGCGACGTGCAATTATACTGGCTACATGGATAAGTACGTCACATACCCTCCAAAAGGTCTCCTTCCCCTGCCAGGAGACTCTACCGATCCTGCCAAAGGCTGCGATGTCTGGAACGATATTTTGGGTCATGCAATGATGATAAACCCTGCTTTCAATGTGTATCGTATCTGGGACACTGTGAGTCGAAAAGGATATTGATGAATACATATTAACTTCTGTTTCGCTCAAGTATCCACTTCCATGGGATGTCCTAGGTTTTCTGTAAGCCATTCAATGATCAACCCAATGCAGCCCAGCTGACACAGATCCAGAGACACCCAGTCTCAGGTCTACTTTAACCTAACAGACGTGAAGGAAGCTATCCACGCGCCTGTGAACACGGAATGGTTTATATGCGGCGATTCTGTCTTCCAAAGCGATGACGACAGCAGCTTGCCCCCTGCATTCACTGTATTACCGAGTGTTATCGAGAAAAGCAAGCGGACCGTCATCGTGCACGGTCTCGCAGACTTCAATCTCATTGCTGATGGGTATGACTTCGGTTTTGACCCTTAATCTTCGTTTATTCTGATGCAGTGGTTTGATGACTTAGAACCAGAATTACCATTCAAAAGTGAGTGCGTTCTATCACTATCAGTTTAACGACGGGAATCATTTGTAGCATGACTTGTGCGTGACTACTAATGTTTGATGTACGCTACCATTCACTTATTATATCTTAAGGGAATGGTTTGCAAGGATTCCAGACGCCTATCGCCAATGACAGCTTCATTGTGGATGGCGTGGGTGCGTACGGGTCGATGCACTCGGAGCGGGGACTCACTTATTACGAGGTAGCTTTAGCTGGACATATGTGAGTTCACTGCGATTCGCAGGGTCTTGTTTCTGATAGTTTCCGTACTAGGGTTCCTGAGTTTGCGCCAGGAGTAAGTCGACAATGCCGTCGTGCAGACGCCATCTAACGCAGAGACGGATACTTCCAGCCGTCCTTCCAGATTATGCAGTATCTGATGGGGTTTAGAGACACTCCTTAGATAAATACTTGCTTCCCGTATTGCCTTGTCACCAATGCTCAAGTGCTCACACTCGTTCTTGTACCGCCTTGGTGTCACGATGTCTCACACATTTCAATAGCACAGTTTTTTCTATTTCTCTATTTAAATAATATCTGCGACAGGGACACAATTGTATTAGAGATCGAATAGGTTCGGACTAGAGACGGGGAAGGAAGGACTCAGTCTTAGTTAGAAAGACTGAGGGCAAAACTATCGAGCGAAGGGACTATCAAGGCGAGTTGAGACGGAGAACGAAAGGAAAACGTGTATAGATAAGTGATAGTGTATGTAAAATAGAAACATACAAACGACGTATCGTGACACTCCCACTCAAACACATGTCACTTAATACATGTTTGATCTGCGTCCTGGTCAGCCAAAGGGTCACTTGAAGATGAGCGAAGAGTGAGGGAATAACGATGGCCACGAAAGGATTTTCGCGGGAGAGACTTTGTGAAGATATCGGCAATCATGTCGTGGGTGGGTATGTATGGGATAATTATGATTCCATCATTGACAAGGTCACGGATAAAGTGGTAGTGGACGCGAATGTGCTTGGCACGATCATGGAATTGAGGATTCTTCGTCAGCGCACGACTTCAGTTGTTATCACCATACAGTATGGTTGGTGTGACGAGTGATGGGTCAAGGCCAAGATCATGTAGCAACTGACTGAGATGAATTTGTTCTCATGCCGCATTAGAAAGGGCAATGTATTCTGCTTCGGTAGAGGATGTAGCAACAACAGGTTGCTTTTGGGAACACCAGTTAATGGAGGAACCGAAAAGAAAATAGATGTATCCCCCAATTGAACGGCTGTCATCTTTATCAGATGTGAAGTCAGAATCTGAGTAACCAATTAGTCCTTGATCAGACAGGCCAAAGGTCAAGGAGTAGTTTGTCGTTCCACGAAGATAATGAAGGAGGTGATGGAGTTGTTGGTGATGTTCTATACCCGGATTACTGAGAAACTTCGACAGTGTTGATACTGCATATGCAATATCAGGACGGCTAACACGCATGAGGAAGTTGAGCTCCCCACATCAGGCAAAACCTCCTGGCCAAAATTTCGATAATCTTTGATAAAGTCCAAGAATTATGTCTAATTAGCAGCATTAGGAGAATTAGGAAGATTATGTAGTTTAGAAGGACTTTCTTACCCCCTCGTCAGTGTTGCATAATTATCAAGAATTAGCTGATACTAGACACAATTATGGTGAATTGCAGAAGCCATTATTACAAATATTGGTTCACAGATTATGCGTCCCGGGCAATGTTACAAGAATAAAAGACTAATATTGGATTAAAAGATGTGTATAAAAGTAATCAACAAACAGCTGATGACGAGGGTATGAGGAATTTAGGTACATTCACTAATGAATGCAGTATATACAGGAATGGATCAGCACTACAGAACCTAATCGTCGGCCATGCCATCCAGGTCAAGTAGTGACAGAGCATTTTGATGCTCACTGGTGAGATGATCATTGCCCTTCTGTTTCAAAGCCCTTCGAGTAGCATCAGTATCCGGCATGTCAAAACAGCACCATCCACACCAGCGAAACTTACTGTACAGCTTCGAAAATGTCAGCCATCATACAGTGAAACTTTCCAGGTGCATCCCTCTTCAAATCCTCGAGGAACTTGACATGGAAAACATATGTTTCACTGAATTGATTCCCAGAAAAGTTAAACTTTCCCGGTGAACCAAGCATCTTCCAGAAAAGGGCCGCGTAGATCTTGAAAATGAACGAGCACAGCATGGAGACTTGGTGGAAAGGACATTACTGCTGTTGCCACAAGCACCAACAATGGAATGGGGACTTCGGGGCAATTGCACTTGTTTCTCACAATTTCGACAAAACGTGCTGCAAATCTGATGCCGATGGACTTCGCACCATCGAAGACTCCATTGTATAACAGAAAAATTAGTGGTTCACCCTGGTAGGGCTTTTTCCCTATGGGCAAAGCATCATCGTTGGACTGTTGAAGAGGGAAGTTAGTTAGAGAATAGAATGGTCAAGGAAGGAGAAAAGATATGAGAATACAATGAAGAACCCGCTCCTGAGTGTTGGCGAAGGAGTGAAGATATGGAAATATGATAAAGAACCTGCTCCTGAGTGTTGGCGAAGGAGCGAAGATATGAAATATGATAAAGAACCCGCTCCTGAGCGTTGGCAAAGGAGTGAAGATATGGGAATATGATAAAGAACCTGCTCCTGAGTGTTGCAAAGATCTTGAGCTGAAGAATAAACAGAGTGAACTTACATCAAACCTCAAGGCATATACATATGCATGCTGCTCCATAAGTTTTTTCGCCTTGACTATGTTGTTGCTGAGACGGAAGTAGCTATTGATGTTCGCACATGCAGTGGCTTTCAGATCACGCTGCAATAATGGGATCCAGGGCTCCACCTCAAGTAATACAAATGATAGTTAACAAAAATTCATAAATCAAGACATGCAAGTGACTTACCAAGCTACCAAGGAGAGTAGCATACTGAGCATCTGTTTGAAGACATTTTTTGATGGCTTTTATGCTGCGATTCTTGACCACCATTAGCAAAGACTGGAGGGATACCTGGTTTTTGTCAATGAGCTCAGGGTAAGCATTGACGAAGATAATGTGACCTTTAGTGTCAATAATGGCATTTTGGACTACTCGCTGAGTCTCCAGGTTTTGATCAAGTAATTTAACATTTCCTTTCTCCGTTCGAACGAGAGAAGCAGTCATCTGAGCTAATCGAGTTGCAGAGGTGACATTCGGCTCGGGGACAACTTCAATGTCGCTGGAGTCACAAGGTTCCAAGGAATCACCATCATGATGAGTAGTAGATTCTTCACTGGCAATAGACTCTGAGACAGCGTTGTCAACATCATGCCACATTGGAGTCTTAAGGTAGTCCCATAGTATCAGTGTAGTTTACTTAATAGTATGGACTCACCTCCTTGGCTTGTTTTCGCTCTCTGGCAGATTGGGAGTTGCCATGTGATTGAACAGGCTTGGCATTGTTGGTTACAAGCAAAGGCACCTTCCGAAACTCAGAATCAACAAGATCAGCTTAAGTAAACCAATTCTACTACTAACTTTGTCTGAGAGCATCAAGGCAGTGGCCTCTGGTTCTTTGCCCTCACTCTCCTCACCGTCAGCATCAGTATCAATGCCATTCGGCTTGTCCTCAAGATCTTCATCAGAGTCAAACATCACAGTCACATTGCACATCACATAAGTGCGACAGAGTTTTTTAGGATGGCTTGCAATGATCTGAGTAAGATTCAAACCTTTTGTCATCTATAACTAACCTCGAGTTTTTTCAGGTCGCAAGTCCTCTGAGTCACTACCATGGCCACTAGAATCATCCCCATTATCCTTGCTCCCAAAGGTATGCTGACGCTCTACCATCAAAGTTAGTACTTATCCTGTGATTTAGATAGAATTATTGATGTACTCTGTTTTGAAGGCAAACCCTTGTCAATCTGAGTGATTGCACTCCATACTGGTTGTTTTGCTTTGGTGGGCAGCCCACTTGCCAGTGGGTTGGGAGGTGCTCTCTGTTGATGAACTTTTCTTGCTGACTTTTCAGGCATCCAAACTGAAGTAGCAGGCGAGCATTGAATTCTCTGATTTACAGCCTACTGAAGTCGCTTGCTTACTGGCTTTTTCCATAGCTTTTTTCTTCACAATTTGGGGCTCTATCCAAGCCCAGTGAGAATCTGCCGTCTCGACCTGCCACTTTACTACTCACCACAAGAATTAAGAGGTGCATACATGTTATACTGGATGGGGGGGGGGGGTGAAATAAAAAATTGACAATGCTGTTAGATTTTGTGTTGACATTTTTAACTGTGATGTTGAGTGCATTGCAGTGCATCGGAGGGCAACCAAGTCATTAGGTGAGTTCATTTTACAGGGACTCTGAATTTACCTTTACCTCAGACTCACTAGGATATTTGCATGTATAGTACTCCCTCACCCTTCACCCTCAAAGTTCAAGGGGTGCCGGAGGCAGTTATAATGTTGTCCTGCATTTCAAGGGGCCTCAGAGGCAGTCCATTTGGTATATTCAATTCAATTCAAGGGTCTAAACATCACTCCTGATCACTCTGACCTCTCAGGGTGTCTCTATCACCCTCTACTCCCTTACCCTGTATTGTTGGTCAGGGGCGTCTGTCTACTCCCTCTATCTCAGGGCGTCTCTATCACCCTCTACTCCCTCACCCTGTATCATTGGTCGGGGGCATCTGTCTAGGGCATGTATTATTGGTCGGAGGTGCTCTACTTCCTCTATCTCAGGGCGTCTCTATCACCCTCTACTCCCTCACCCTCTATCGTTGGTCAGGGGTGTCTGTCTAGGGCTTGTATCATTGGTCGGGGGTGTGTAGGGCGTGTATCGTTAATCGGGGGCATACACAATGTCTGCAAGCTGCTCAGCTTGTTTGAAAGACAATTTCACTGTCACAGGCCTCAGTCAGCATCTAGCAAAGAGCTGAAATCCGGATTGTCAAGCGCTGTACAATCACTCATGCTCCCAGATACACGCTAACACTAGTGAACCGGCGCAATTGGAGCCAAATAATCTTGAGGATGAGTTTGAATGGCCTGATGACATGGAAGACTTTGTGTGCACTCGTGAGGGATCTGGCCGCAGTAGTGATGCGGATGATGGATCGTATGATGAAGCAAATAACAAACCCGAGTGGGAGGCTCCAGTTGAACAGCAATATGACCACAGTGACATGGATGCCATGGAAGATTTGGCCGCTGATGAAGCAACTGGTCAAGAACAACACCATGGTCACCAGGAGATTCAAGAATGCGCCCAAGGGCAGCATGGTTGTGTTATCATGCCCTATCCAGACTCGCGTACCGGGCAACCTATTTCTAACAATCATACTGCCAATGTGGTGTATGGTGTGCATCTTTCCAATGGTGACCAGGAGAATATATATCACCCATTTGCTTCTAATATGGATTGGGAGGTTGCCAGATGGGCAAAACTTTGTGGGCTCAGTTTGGCTGCTTTGTCTGACTTACTTGCTATCGAGGGGGTAAGTTGGTCACCATCTGAATGTTTATGTTGATTACAGGTCAGTGAATGCCTCTCGCTCTCTTTCAAGAATGCAAACAAGCTGAATGCCATCGTCAACCATGAGCTTCCGACAGGCCGGCCCAAGTTCAAACAAGAGCAAATCATTGTTGCAGGAGAAGCCTTTGACGTCTATTACCATGATGTGATTGAATGCATCAAGTCACTGTACAGTGATCCCAAGTTCACGAGATACCTTGCATTTGTGCCTGAGCATCATTACGCTGACGAGGATGAGACTGTTTGTCTGTTTCACGATATGCATACAGGAAAATGGTGGTGGGATACACAGGTGCATAGCATTGACCATGTCTACAACATATGATACTACTGATACTTTAGAAAAAGCTCAATCAGCACAGCCCAGGCGGCACCATAATTCCAATCATCATCTCGTCCGACAAAACTCAAGTAACCTTGTTCCGCAACAAATCTGCTTACCCTGTCTATCTCACCATCAGCAATATCCCAAAAGAAATTCGACGCAAGCCATCACACAGTGCCCATATACTTCTGGCATATTTGCCATGCACATGCCTCGATCATATCTCTAACAAAGCCTCACACCACCAAAGTTTGGCAAATTTGTACCATGCTTGCTTGAGCTGTGTTCTTGCTCCCCTAAAATCTGTTGGACTGGATGGGATTACTATGGTGAGTGGGGATGGCACCCTCTGCCGTTGCCACCTACTGTTTGCAAGCTTCATCAGTGACTACCCAGAACAGCTCCTTGCTACTGAGATCAAGTTCAGAGAGTGTCCAAAATGCGACATTGATGCTGATGAAACGGGGAGCAATACAGCACTGTTTCATTTATGAAATTTGCGCAAAGTGTTGGATGCCCTCACTACTCTAGATAAGGGGAATATGTCCTTTGTTTGTGCTTGCTTGGCAGCAGGTATCATGCCTATCATTCATCCTTTCTGGGAAGATCTCCCATTTGCAAATGTTTTCCGTGCAATCACACCAGATGTATTGCACCAATTATACCAAGGATTAATTAAACATCTCTTAGGCTGGTTGATGGCTGCTTGTGGTGCAGCCAAAATTGATGCTCGTTGTCGGCGTCTTCCTCCCAACCATCATATACATCTGTTCACCAAGGGCATCACCTGCCTGTTGCATATCAGTGGGACCGAACACTCACAAATCTGCCGCTTTCTTCTTGGTATTGTAATTGGTATCCAACTGCCCAACAATCTTAACGCAAACCAACTTCTACGAGCCGTCCAAGGTCTACTTGATTTTCTCTACCTTGCACAATATCTGTGTCACAGTTTGGAGACCCTACAGCTACTCAACGATGCACTCGGTCTTTTTCATGAGAACAAGGACATTTTCATTGATCTCGGTATCTGAAACAATTTCAATCTACTGAAGGTGCATGTGACTCGCCACTACTCTTACATGATTATGATGTTGGGCACAACAGATAATTATAATACAGATCATACAGAAAGACTTCACATTGACTATGCTAAAGACACTTACCATGCTACCAATCACAAGGACGAGTTTGTGCAGATGACATGGTGGCTCAAATGCAAAGAGAAAATACCGCGCCATGACAAGTATGTCATCTGGCGACTTGCTGGTGATGTCGAGTGTGAGCCTCACTATTCACGTTCGCTAGATATGACCTTCTGCCAGCTTCAGACTATGCCGAAACACCCTACTGCAAAAGCGGTCACTATTGACAAATTGGTTGATGACTACAGCGCTACCCTTTTCTGTGAGGCACTTAGTCGCTATATTATGCAGCTCAGGCATGCCAAGAATCCTAACCCCCTCCATGCTCGAGCACTGGAAGTATTGGCATGTGACATCCATTTCCCATTTTGAATGCTTCCTGTTTTCCACAAGATCAAGTGGGTCTCCATCGATGCTCGTGGTCATGGCAACACAACCATCACGTTGAATTCTGTTTACGCGAGACCACAGCAGAGATCAGGTTCTGGTCCACTGCCTTGTTGTTCAGACACAGTCCTGGTGAACCTTGGTGGCAATACAGAAGCCATTAGTGCAGGTATAGAAAGTAAGTCAGCAACAAGTATTCGCAAGGATAATTGTGACTCACAGTTGACTGGCTCTAGCATTCCACATTGGTCAAGTACGAGCTGTTTTCTCATTACCTTTGAAATCACTCCTGCTCCTCTTTCCACCAACAGTCCAGGTTCCTAGCCACCTGGCATATATCAAATGGTTCTTGCCGTTTCCGTTGGCTCCTGATCAACACCATGGCCTTTACAAGGTCTCATGTTCCTTGCTTGGTGGCGCAAAATTGGCCAGCATTGTGCCATTGTCGAAGATTGTGCGGAGTGCCCATCTTCTGCTGAATTTCGGTGCCATTGTCCCATGAGAGTGGTCGAGTGATACAGTTCTAGATGACTGTATCACTTTTTGGTTGAACTTGTATGTAGATAGATACACTTTCTGTATCTTCAAATAAGTCTTGATAATTCCATTGTACATTATCGTCTTCTAGCCATTTTATTTCTAAAACTTGAAATTAGATAGAATTATCAGAATAACATCTTTTAGCACAATTTTCACCCGGGAGGGTTTTACTGATGCAACAACTCGTGTGTATGGCATATGCATGAATTGCTGTGCCTCGGACTCATTAAGAGGAGCGGAAGCTCTCATCATTGAGATACCTGGAGCCAAAGGAGTGAATACTGGACAGCAGTCCGACATGCAAGTCTCGTTCAGAATCTGTTTGAGGAAGGAAGATTGGTTGATGGTAAGAAGATATTTGAGACGGTCATGAGTGATGTGCATTCCTAAAAAATGGCATGCTTCACCAAGGTCCTTCATTTCGAAACATCTGCTCATATCTGACTTGAAAACATCAAGGAATTTTCAACAGTTTGAAGTGAGCAACATGTCATCAATGTAAACAGGGAGCCAAATGACCTTGTTGTCCTTGTGCAAAACATATAGACTGTAGTCTGCCTCACTGTGGACAAAATTGAAACCTTCCTTCCGCAAGAAGTCATCAAGTTTCTTGTTCCATTGACGACCAGCTTGTTTGAGTCTATAGATGGCCTTTAAGAGTTTCCACACCCAATCTGGATGCTCTGAGTCCTCAAAACCAGGTGGTTGTCACATATAAATTTCTTCATTGTGGTCGCCATTAAGGAAGGCAGTTTTTACATCCATTTGGTCAAGTTCAAGATCAAACTTGGCAACCATGGAGAGTAGTGCACGTACTGTGTCATATTTCGCAACAGGTGCAAAAGTGTCAGTGTAATCTAAGCCCTCGATCTGTGAGAAACCTTGCACGACAAGACGGGCCTTGTGTCGAGTAATCTGGCCACCTTCATCATATTTATGTGAATATACCCATCGTGAGCCAACTGCCTTTCTCCCTGGTGGAAGTGGTATAAGAACACCAACCTCTTTCTTATGTAGCGAGGCCAGTTCTTTATGCATAGCACCTTCCCAATGACCAGATTCAGTTGATGAATGAGCCAAAACCAGTGTTTGTGGGGGTTGTTTGCATCCATCAACCTTGCCTTCTATAGATGTGTACATTGCTGAATGTTCAATGACAATATCCAAGGCTGGAATAACGTCAGAATCCTGGTCACATTCAACTTCTTCCTCCACTGTAACAGGAACATAGGTCCATTGTTGCTGAACAGGAACATTCTTGGTTGGGATGGCAACAGATCTTGGGATAGAGCATCTGGTGTTACGACTTGGATGGTATCTGTTGGCGACGCTCAAACAGAGTGTGTGTCGTCAACGGTCGAGGACGTCCTTGGGCTAGCCCAAGGTTAGGGGTCTTACTTGGTGAGGCTTCGGCAAGTAAGATTTGACGCCTATGTCCAAATCAGGTAGCTTATGTCAAGCGGGTGTGAGACGATAAGCTATATCGGCCAAGGCTTACGCCACCCGAAGGTTAATCGTAAGATCGTCGTTAATTAGAAGGACAGAAGTCCGACTAGTTAACAGGGGCTTTGCTCGTCGACGAAGTCGATGAGTAAAGATTGAGACTATAGGCTTATCTGCGAAGAGCAGATAAGAAGATAGAATATAGACTGCTGGCAAGGCAGAAAGGATCACTCTGGTGAGAGTAGGAGGTCAAGAACCAAGTAGATTCAAGTTAGGGAATATGGTACATGGTAGCGAGTTTATATAGAGGACAGGAGGCGTATTAGTGGGTGATAACTCGTACTACCAAGTGAAGTAATTGATAAAGGGCATGACCATAACAGGAAGGCACGTTCGGGGTGAGACACGGGTGAACCAGAACGTGCTTGATAAGAAAATGAGTTCAAAGATCAAAACAAGAAGTGAAACGCGCAGGGGCACGATCGTGCAGCTGCGGAGCTAAGTATAAGTTGCATGTCCAACTGCGCACCGAGTCAGAGACCAAGAAAGGGAAAAGGGCAAAGGGGATGCGTCGTGCATCATATCATAGGTTACCGTCCAGACGGTAAGGGCAAGGGGACTGTCCACAGGATCAGTCAGGTGGCGGAACGGTGCATGGGTATGCTTCGTCAGCGAAAGGATCCGGCCAGATGTACTGGCTCTGCTGAAGCGACAGGTAGAGGGCGAAAGGGAATGCGAGGATGACGAGGATGACGAGGGTGAGGTCGGGGTAAGGGTATGATGTGAGGGCTGATACGAGGAGGATGAGGAGAAAAATGGTAGGGGCCCAAGCATCTAGATGTTCTTGTAACATCTGGAATCCAAGTAATCTTCACATTCACGAGACAAGGAAGGCCCAGGCTGAGCATTTGGAGAGGGTCTGAAGTCCAAGTAAGGCTCGCGTTCATGAGACATTGGGTTGCGGTCATGGTGATGGTCATCGCGTCTATAGGTCCGAGGGGCTGGAGTATCACGATAGTGATAAGGAAAAGGTGGGTCATGATCCATCCCTCGTGAGTCTTGAAGTCTCCTCCACGGTTCTTGTCTATCCTGATACCCCCTTCCGCCTCCCATATTGTCATGGTATGGAGCATGCCGTCGACGTGTGTCAACTTCATAAGTATACACACCGGGAATGGGGCTATAACCACCAGAATAAGCAGAACAAGTCTCTTCATTCAAGTGCATAGCAACAATGGGAGATGGTTCTCGATCATGAAAGCTGTCATGGGGATGTACACCTCAACCATAGAGTCCATCCTATGTAACGACTCCATCATGATTCCAAGGAGATAATTCGCATGTGTAAGTATCATCACGATCATGACCATGGTGGTACTGAATGGGATTGTGAGGGTAGTAAGGCCCATTACAAATATCATTTCGCTTAGTCTCCCGAGTGTCATATCCACGATCAGGAGGCTCATGCCAACCAGATGTGCGAAGAACAGGCTCGTGGGACTCTAGGTGCTGAGGCTCTGCCAGTGGAAGATTGTGTGTGAAGGGCATATGAGGTGCACGTTGATCGTGGTCAGAAGGGTTCCGGCTGGTGTCTCTGGAGAGGCGCATGGGAGGTTTGTTAGGCTTGGGACCATGCTGGGTAGGGTCATTAGGCTTGGGACCATGCTGGGGAGGGTTGTTAGGCTCAGGAATGTGCTGGGGAGGGTCGCTAGGCTCAGGTAGGCAGTCAACAGGCTCACTGGAGGTGTGATGAAGAACTTGGTGTGAATTGTCTTCATACAATGGTCTGTGCTGAGGAATTGGTGACTGCACTGGACCTTGTTCACTGGCAATGGCATCTGATGAGTACTTCTCATTTATTGCCTGCTGCACGTTTGCCAGTGGAGGTGGTATGACAGGAGCATCTGCAGCCTTCTCGGCAACCTGTTTGGCAACATGTTTGTTACCCTCTTCTGACTCATCGCTATACATTATGCGATGTGTATGGCTCAGAATATACCGAGATCCTGGAATGATCGGGTGTGGTTTGATGGGGCCATCTCGAAGCCTCTTGGCATGCTGAAGTTGAGATGTCCCTACACGAGCAAGCAGCTCATCACTTGAAGATGATACAGTCAGAGGTGACAAAGGACCACCTTTTATGGGAGGTGCCCCTGGAGCAGGCAATGGCTTCATAGTTCCTTGGACCTTCTCCTTAACCTTTCTCTTAGTCTGGGCCTTCACATTTTTCTTTGTCACATTCGTCTCCACTTGATCCTCAGCAGATGGCGCGCACCTCTTCAACACTTGATGTGGCCTACTATCTGCCACCTTTCTCTTTTCCCCCTGAAATGCATCTTCAAATCCTGTCTCAGGTACCATCTCACGAGGCTCATCTTCGGACTCGGATATGTAAAGCTTGATCACATCAGTTGACGAAGGCTTTGGCAATGCTGGTGGAGGCCTAGGAACCACTATAAATGGGTGCGAGGGAGGCATTGGCAGTAGAAGTCCTGGCGAAAGCTTTGGAGAAGCTGATGGAGGCCTAGGAACCACTATAAATAGGTGCGAGGGAGGAGGCTTTGGCAGTAGAAGTCCAGTGGTAGTAGATTCCTGTTGAGAATTTGAGGGCAGTTTGCGGGTGTTTTGAGTCTTCTTGACTTTGGTAGTTGCAGTGCTGATCTTCACATGAGAAGGTCCATTATAGTCTGTGTGACAGTTGGCAAACATTTGTTGGGCTCTAGCATGAGGGTAGTCTGAAGGAGGTGCTTCACCAGTGATCATAGGGATCTCTGATGCAATCAGTGCCCCTATGATGTCAAATATTAATGAAAGTGCTATGGCAGTGTCAACGACTTTAAACATACCTCATGACACTTTTGGGACCTTAACCACTAACATTGTTCCCACCTTCAGAGCCTCTACAAGTATACAGACTTCCTTCTGGGTCAACCCTCCAATACCTTTGCTTTTTGCATTAATGTTATGGTATTTCCCAGGTAATAGACATTTATGTGCTGGGTATCCCTTGATACAAAGGTTCTCATTGGCGAGTACACTGGGCATCATGATCCATGGGAAGTTCTTATAAGAGGTGAACTTCCCATCGAGATTGTCTAGTATAGCCATTCGTAAATTGGAGCATGAATTATGGATCACAAAGAACTTACCAACTTGTCAGGCTGAGTTCTTGTTTGAGCCACTTGAGTGGATCCCCAATAGCTTGAATGTCAGGCATGTCATCCTTCAAGAATGAAGCATCCCCATCGCAGATGTCATCTTCACCCTCACAAAATGTGTCTTCAACCACTGAGAGTGACGTTGCATTACTGTAAGTGATCAACAAGGGAAGTAAGAAAAGTGACATCTGAGACCTACAACGCATGAGCTTTCAGATGCCCAATGATGGTATCGTCATTTGCATGGCAGTGCATCTCAAAGACCTGATAGAGCAAATCAACAAAGATAAGAAAAGATTTTTGGACAACAACAACTGACCCCTGCAGCAGACTGCGTTGTGTGTACATGATCCAGAGAGGCATCCTGGTTGATGATATTGCCACAAAAGACAACAGCTGCCTCAAATCCAAATCTCATTGAAGCAGAATCGAGCTAAAGTTAATGTTAGCTTGCTCTCAATCATTGTGAGAAATACCATACCAAGCTTGCTACTCGTCTGTAGAGCTTTTGGAATGATTGTTGATGCTGATTCAGAGTTGAAGCTGAGCCTATGTGATTTGCTTTGTTGTAAGCACTAAGAATATCTTGGTAGTCGTCAGGAAATGCCTCCTTGAATTTTTCGTAGCAGAGCCTTCACACAGCCATACCTGGATTATAAGTTAGACGCTGCCAGACTACATATTTGTGTTCACTTACCTGGTGTACCATGAAGCTCTACATTTTGAGTTTCTTTGCCTTTACCTTTACCGTTCTTGAGCCGCGCAAGTTCTCGCTCCTTGTACGCCTTGAAGTAGTTTGCATAAATGTTCCAATAATTCCTGCTGTGAACCTCCTGTCCATGACTCTTCAGGAATGTGTTGATCACCTGATTAGTTGGCATCATGGTAGACTTGGTTAAGTCATTGAAGATGTGATCAAGCAGTGCAAATCCTTCTTCGAGCTTCTCATTGGCCTCTGATGACCTTCGCCCCATCAAGGATTGCTCCAGTCCACCTGACTTGTGATCAATGTGGTTGGAATTCTTTTCCGGGAACCGCTCTTGAATGCCATTGGCGGGGTGGTAGCTTAAGTCCAGTTGCTGACCCGATGCCCTTGTAAATGTGTGGCCACCTTGGGTGCTATGTGGAGAAGCATCGTCATCAGCTTTTAGTGGTGTTGGTGGGATAAGATTGAGGGGAGGTGGGACATGGGACATGTTGTCAATAAGGTGACCACCTGCTGCGGTGTAGAGCCTTGTGTCTCCACAGGCACTTCCCTCGAATTCTCCCACTTTCTCCCACTTTCCCTACACACTCCAGCTCTAATCCCAAGGATACGTCTTGCGTAGTAGCGCTTCATATATTTTACTTTGCAGATTCCACATGCAGCCACTCACACTTTGCGCGCACTGCACATCTGCATTAGTGTCGTCCGCATGCCCGTCCATCTGTCCTCCCCATGTCCTTAGATGTCCATTGGTGCATTTTCGCACTATATTCCCATTTTAACTAATTGTTTCCGTCGCTAATTCTCGGCCTAGTGCTATGCGTGCAGCTGAGACCCTATTACCTATCACATGTACTATATTTAGCTTACTTGGCTCACTACATCAGACCTGTGCACCTAGCGGCACTTAGCCATCTTTACATATACTATCTCTTTACTCTATTTTCGAGGTCAATTTTCTGCCCACTTTCTCTGTGTCTCTAGATGCTAAGAATTTTACTTGTTGTTTGCAAGTGACTATCCAAAGTTGTGTGCTTCGGTTCTCAGACTCCGCTTTAGCATCAGCTAACCTTAGTTGGGGTGTTAAGACTTGTCTTGTCTTGTCTTGTCTTGTCTCTCTCTCGTTTCTCTCACTCACTTGTCTCTTGCCTTCGCTCGTGCATGCTACCTTCACATTGCGCACCTCGACCTTCACCTTTCGCACTCGCACATTTGCTTTCTGCACATTGCATCATTTCTGCTTCATGCGTTACTTAGACTTAGTACTTCATTAGTTGTTTGGTGTCCCTCTTTTTACAAAGAGAGGTTTCCTTTACTCAGTTAGCTGCCCTTGGGACGATGATTTCACTTGCGCCCAAGTCTATCTGTATTTGCTTAGCTTAGCACCAACTTTCCCCACAGTTTAGATTCCTCATCTTTAGCGGTCATTCCCGGTACTTGGTCTGAGAGCAGCATAGTAGAATCAAAGGCATCGGAAGCATCTTGGCATGACCAGCCAGGCTGTGACTCTATGCTCGCATAAAAGAGGTCGTCGAGCTGTGCAGGGTGTTGTGAAGCAGGATCACCTACAAATAGTGAGGGGTGGCATGTTGTGTGGCTGCTTGCAGCACCTGCAGAAAAGGGAGAGGTATGATGGGAGTTTGGAAGTGGGAGCGACGATGAGTTGCTGCTTCCCATTGGGAGTGTAAGCAAAGACAAATTGCTGCTTGCTGCTCCATCCTGACAATCTACAGGATAGGGTAGCGTGGGAGAGGGGTGACGACTGTTCGTGGGTGGGAGTGTAAGCAAAGATGTGTCGCAGCTCATGGCTCCATCATGACCATCGACAAGAGAAGGCAACAAGTCAGTAGACTGGGTAGGTTGAGAAGAGGGTGTTGAGTGGACTTGGCATTGAATATTGGCCTGTCTTGCGACACCAGATGAAGAACAGTTCACTCAGAACCTGCTGGATGTCATGCACAGATATCAGTTGCATTGGTTAAGGGTGTCTTGCATTCATCTTGCAGCCATGTTTAATGCCGGAGGTAGTGGTATTGCTAGTATCATGAAGGAGATCCAGAAGGCATGAAAAGTATTGCTCGATGGCTGGAATGACCTTCACGCACATGTCACAACCTTGCGGGCATGTGCGAGACACAAGGCCATGGCAGAATGTTATCAGCAGTGGCAAGTGAGGAAGATCTTGAACTATCAACAGGAGGAGGATCAGTTAACTAGAGGAGAAAATCCATATGTGTAGATAGAAGTTTGAATTATATTATGACATTTGTTATTACACAGCTGGCGGTAGAGAAAGAGTAAGAGTGAAGAGATAATGGCGCATATGAACAATGTCATCCTCCTGCAGTCCTGAAACATGCCGCTCATGGAGTACAGCACTGAGTGCTGCTAAAACCCAGACACCGCAGTTGTAACTGTTATTCTGGAGACAGTGGATCTGCAATGTATTTCACCAAAGCGGTTAATTGATGTTAAAAATGAAACTCACATTGAGAGGTTGTGCAACCCATCCCTGGAGATCAGTTGGAATGTCATGGCTGTGTTTTTTTTGCCAATATAACCAACTGATCAATTAATCTCATAATGTCCTTCTCCGTAGTCAGCAAAGGATTCAGTCACATGAATATTAGCTTACTTTGACATTGTTTTTCCAAGGTTTTTTCTCACCAAGGCTATCAAAGAGGAGTAATTCCTTGTTGAACTTGTGAATCACACAAATTACCCAATGTCCAATTGAGCCGGAGGGCTGGTGTATTGGCAGGACCCATACATCCTTCTCCCAGTAATGTGTCCACGAAATATTGCACCAAAGGATGTCGTCGGGCGCATTGTAATGGATGCGTGGGAGGTCATGGGTAGAAAATATTGCGCAAGAGAGCATTGGTGATTTTAGTTCAGAGTAGAGTAGAGCAGCACAGCTGTTGATACAAACATCATTAAGGCACGCTGTAGGAGAGCGGAGCAAATTGATGTCTTTTGGATCAAACACTTGATCAGGGAATCCATTGTGTGGAGGTCGAATTTGTGTGACAAGAGTGTCAGGGATGATTACGTCTCGCTCTGGAATTTGGACACTGAAATTATCAACTAGTAGGTCCTAGCATCAAATAGAATCAGTAGTGTGATATTAATTTAGATTTAACAAGACCTTAGGAAGCTCCCACATGATGGTTGCTTTAATGTCATAGCCTATGTCATTCACCTCAGCAGTGTTGTCCACATCCAACATAGCCATCTCTTGCTCCAGAACATCTGTGAGTGTGGCTTGTTCGGAGTCCATCTGTGGGGGATTGTTGAGGTCAGCAGAGACCAGTTCATCTTCACCATCAAGTTCAAGTGCAGTGAGACTTGTAGTAGTGATCCAATGAAGGGCGGTGGTCTGAGAGCCTCCTGAAATGGTAACGGCAATATCTACTGCTTCTTTAACATGAGTGGCGAACCGTAACAATGACACCAGTGCATTGCTCCAGTGGGATTGAAGCTGAAGAAAGTTAGACCGGCACTGTTGCAGGGTAGCCGTAAAAGGCTCACCTAGCGACTTCATCAGAAAAGAAGACTGTTTGAAATCATTCACCTACATTCTGGGATGCAAAGAGCAAGTTCGAGTGCTGCAAGCTCTTGTCCAAAAAATCGACAAAGGTTATCAGCTTCAGTGCCAAGTCGTACCTGTTCTTCCCTGCAGCGATCGCGTTTAAGAAGAGCGCAGATGCCATCTCTAACGTCAGTATCATCTAACCACCGTGGTACTTCTCCAATGGATGGTGCGATCCACACATCCTCCATTAGTGTGGGATCAGCATGTAATTCAGTAAGTTTGGTGGAAAGGGGAGTGGGTAACGGAATCGCGCAAGATGGATCATAGAGCAAATCTAACTGTTCACAGTATGAATTAAATTTTCTGATGGCTGTCATGAGAGCGGGTTGGCGTTTGGTGATTGCCTTCCTTGTCTGTTGATGGAGTATTGTTCCTGAGGGATATTAACAATGAGAAGGGGGCTGAAGGGGGACATCTTACCTAACACTTGTTGAGCACTGCCAATGGCCTGATCTAATTTATCCCACTCGAAGAAGCTGGCTATGGCACATTTGTGGATATTTATTTTGAGGTCGCATGCCATCAACAGGATGCGAACAAACTCAAGGTCAATTCCCTGAAGCTCGGGGAAATTGTTGTGGCTGTGAAGAGACACATATAGAGCTTCAACTTTGTTCATCAAGCAATTGTGACCTCTCTCAAGGCTCTCTAGAGCCTCGTGTGTGTCATTAGAGTGTGACTGTTTCGCAATAATGACCCTTGTGGCCTGCAGTGCTCTGCTCGAATTATCAAGATCGGCTTGCAGACTTAGAATCGTGTTGAGTTCTTTCTTCAGACGAGCAGGAGCGTCTTAAAGACTAATTAATAAGATACTACATGTGGTGTGAAGATGCTTATGAGCCCAGATTGAAAGTTGAGATTCCTGTTGATGCAACCATTGGGACGTCAGCTCCTCAATAGCTAAAAACATCAATAGATGAGAATCCTAATGACATATTAACATCATGGCTGGTGTGTGAGACTGTGAGTGAGGACTTACAGTCAAAGAACAAACATGTCAAAGTCGTCCATTTCCCTGCACATTTGAGAGTGGCACATGCAGATATGACTTCCTTGAGCCTTTCCAAGGGTTGGCCCTGTGTCCATGCACACAATACCCTGGGGGAATGATATATCAATTACATTGATTAACACCTGACCATGTTATATCAGTGGTGTTGGCTTACCACGGGCCACTGCAGGCCATAATGATATATCATCATGTACCAGTACTATACATCCTGTTGTTACAAGAACATCTAGACGCTTGGGCCCCTACTATTTTTCTCCTAATCCTCCTTGTATCAGCCCTCGCATCATACCCTTACCCCGACCTTACCCTTGTCATCCTCGTCATCTTCGCATTCCCTTTCGCCCTCTACCTGTCGCTTCAGCAAAGCCAGTACATTTGGCCGGATCCTTTCGCTGACAAAGCATACCCGTGCTCTGTTTCACCACCTGACTGATCATGCGGACAGTCCCCTTGCCCTTACCGTCTGGACGGTAACCTATGACATGATGCACGACGCATCCCCTTTGCCCCGTTCCCTTTCTGGATCTCTGACTCGGTGCGCAGTCGCACATGCGACTTATACTTAGATCCGCAGTTGCACGATCGTGCCCCTGCGCGTTTCACTTCTTAGTCCGATCTTCGACTCACTTTCTTATCTAGCACGTTCTACCTAGACCGAACGTGCCTTCCTGTTATGGTCTTACCCTTTATCAATTGCCTCTCCCGGTAGTACGAGTATCATCCACTAATACGTTCCCTGTCCTCTATATAAACTCGCTACCATGTACTATATTCCCTAACTTGAATCTACTTGGTTCTTGACCTCCTACTCTCACCAGAGTGATCCTTTCTGCCTCGCCAGCAGTCTATATTCTATCTTCTTATCTGCTCATCGCGGATAAGCCTATAGTCTCGACCTTTACTCATTGACTTCGTCGACGAGCAAAGCCCCTGTTAACTAGTCGGACTTCTGTCCTTCTAATTAACGACGATCCTTACGATTAACCTTCGGGTGTCGTAAGCCTAGGCCAATATAGCTTATCGTCTCGCACCCGCGTGACATAAGCTACCCGATTTGGACATAGGTGTTAAATCGTACTTGCCGAAGACCCGCCAAGTACGACCCCTAACCTTGGGCTAGCCCAAGGACGTCCACAGACCGTTGACGACACAAGCTCTGTTTGAGCGTCGCCAACAGATACCATCCAAGTCGTAACACCTGTCCGCTTATAGACACGATCATGATCTTGCAGCTTGATTGCATTTCACGATTCAGATCTTCTCAGTGACTGAAGTGACCTAGACAATCAGGGAATTGAAGATGTCATTGTGTCATTGCAAATATTAGTTCCTAAATTAAGATGTTTGAAGCACAAGAAATGAATTGCAAAACATAGCAAAAACATAGCAAAAACATAGCAAAAACAAACGATAGTATGTTAGCAGGATTAAATACCCTCCTATATACACTTGAAATGGGAAGCTAACCTTCACCGCAGCGATGCCTGGCGATGTGCATATGCAGCTGCGCCTTCCGCAGCCTCAGACAACCCGAAAACACGCTGTGAGCTCTGCGCCTCCCACCAGATAGCTATCTTCATTTGCACTTCTTCTTCCCATTGATGTGCTCATGCCCTGGCCTTACACCATTCAACACACAAAGCTGTGACAGATTAATTAGCAAAAACATTTAAATTACTCATACTCACAGTCCTGTAGGCCATATTCAGCATTGTTGGAGACACCGGGCATCTTCCAAATCCAAGACACTTGTTGCTGGCCAACAGTGGTCCCATCATCTTGTGTCAAAGGAACAGCATCCTTTGTGCGATCAAGTGGCTTGAGAGTGAGTTGCCACTCATCGTTCTTCTGTAACCTTGGTGCCAGCTTGATGAGCGCATCCCTTGCTGCATTATACTTGGCAGCGAGGGTGTCAATTCGATTGTCGGCATTGTTGATCATGCCAGTTGCTTGAGTATTTGCGTGTTGGCCTCGAATAAACATGTCCTTGTGCTTGTATAGGTGGTACTTCAAATTGAGAACATTGCGAATGTTGTTTATAGCATTGTTTGCCTGTGCTTCCCATAAAACCCACTTGAACTCCAGCAAGCGGTGCTCACAGGGTAGACTAGTAGGTATTGCCAAGGGGAGAAGTAGATTGATGTTATGGACTCTGAGTTCCATAGCAATGTTGTCAGACAAACACAGCCGTGACACGCATGGCATATACAGCAGTTGCACACACGACCACATGTAAATGTGTTGGCGGAGGGAATTGATGCATTGTAAGAGAGTTGCCTGCTGAGAATCTGTGGGGTGTTGTCCAATGTTATGGCCTTCAAACTCAAGATGCTGCCTGGTATATGTTGAGAACAATTGGAAAAACAAAGAATGATTGACTTACTGCTGATCTTTGAGTTCCAACCCTGACGAAATGAGCATTGACAGTGATATGTCATCATGGAGAGACATAATTGTGCCACATTCCATTTCATCGCTTTCAGCTTTTGACAATGCTAAACAAACTGATGCTTGGGTGACAGCTTGAAGTACTTAATTAGAATAGTTATAATCACACACATAGAAAAAACTTACTAGTGACCTTGAGTTCGAAGGGATTTGGTTGGGAATGGTCGGACTCCCAAGCCTCAATGTCGCACTTCCAAGAAGCTAACTGGGTGGGATCAAGTGCCGCCTCAAACTCATTTAAGTCACGGGTGCATTCAAGACACTCAGGCAAGGCAGCCTTGACCTTGCATGTAAGAGTTTTACCTAAATTTAATGGATTAGAGGAATGAGTTGCAGCTGCATGACATACCCATTAAGCACACTTTTTTCCAATTCCAGTCGTTGAAGTGGTTGTCGAGGGTGTCACACCTTGAGCCAGGACCCATCTTGCGAGTACTAGTGGCGACTGGGTTGATATCAGCCCATCCACGTTCCGGTGCTTCGCTGTCAGTTCTCCCGACCCCCTTGATGAAATTGAACAAGTATGTTGTCTGACAGCTTAAGATGTATGCAGGGAGGTGGAACTTTGGAACCAGAAAGGTGATAGTTTTGGAGTTGTGATCCAGGTGGTACTGCTGAGGGAATACAGACATGCGTGTCCAGAGTTTTTTGCTCCATTGGCATGCAATGTCATAGGAAATATTGATGACTTGGAGGGTAGATGCCAACAGCATGCTAGAAAAAAACATGTAATCCATATTGATGTACCTGTGAATTGGTTTAAGACATATACCACACGTTCTGCGCAAAAGCTTACCTTTCACCTTTCTGTAAGTCACAGACTGAGTTCGGACATTTGAAGTCATGTTGTGCGCAGTCAATGGTACCAGCTCCTGTTGCTGCAAGACCACGGGACGCCTTTGTATCAGCCATATTGACTGTGTTGTGGCTCGAACATGTGCTTTTCTAAGTAAACTCTGTCAACAATCATCCTTCTTCAATAGTTACAACTCACCTCTTGAATTATGCATTCATGCAAATTGAGAAAAGACTTGAATGCTGTCTCTTCAACAAAAAATGTGTAACTGTGATTGAGTCCAGGATCGACAGTGTCTGACGAAACATTATGCCGAGCTAGTCGTAAATTGGCATTGATTGCTACAAAAAGTGTGTATAAGAATCTGCAAACAAAAACTTGTAAGGAACAAAACCAATGAACCTATTAAAAACTCACTTTGACTCAGGTGGAGCATTTACCCACTCATCAGGCAAGTTCTTTCCAGGATGGGGGAAAGCTGGACACAGCACCACACATGCACCAGGTTGCATGGAAGTCATGCTTTCAGGATGATGTCCCTGGCCAAACTGTTTCATTTGCTTCAAGAAACACCATTCACGCATCATGCATAGAAGAGATTCATAGTGATCCTGAATTTACTTATTAGTTTTCTGGTAGATAAGCTTGAATCAAACATACCTTGGGAATGTGGATGCCTGTATTGTCGGTCAAACGTACAATAGTGTGATAAAACTGGAGGGCAGATGACTTTGACTCAAAAGATAGGATTTGAAAGTATTCGAGTGCACAGAAAGTCGCAGCGGTCTTGGGCCTGACGGTTGTTGCAGGAAACAAGCGGACTCGTAAAAGTTGGGTGACGTGAGGATGAGCAACTTCGCATCTACAGAAATCCAGCCCAATGACATGGACACCATTGACATCAATGACGACAAAATCATTGTTGGAAGCGGGAATTGGGTTGTTGCATCGAATGCCAATGCGATGTCCGAGTTGAATGTGTAGGCCAAGAGACTTAAGTGATGTCCTTTGAAAGAAAGAACTATTCCAATACTGCAACACATCTTGTAAATATGTTATCAGAGAGTTGAATAAAAATTTGACATACCTCAATTCGGTGAAATAGTTGCCACTGGTGTGTGTAGAACACATTGACGACACACAAGTTCAGTACCATGGCAATCCCTGCATCTATACAATGGTGATTCATCACTGCTGCAGCAGCAGGTATCCTGAGTGTCACTTCCACGGCCCTCCAAACGAATGAATTCTTCGAGAAAAAGTTCAGTGTCAGAATGCCAAACACACAAAGGATCATCCTATGAAAATCAACAGTCAGATTTAAACAAATCATCAGGCAACAATAGTACCCCTGCTGTTCGTTTCTGTCTGATGGGCTCCTCAGAAATTTTGTTGAAATAGTCATCAGTGTTAGGTTGGATATTGGAATAATCAAACTCATCGATAGTTGAATAGTCAACTACCATGTCTTCTTCCCAGCATTGTTTTGATGAATCAGACACTGTATAGTAGGCCGTGGATACAGAAAGGTGACCAGTCGAATTCTGCTCAAAGCTAGCATGCCTTTGCTGTTCCTTGGCACCGTTTGCTTCCAAGATGTCGTTTGCTAGATGCTGTGCTGCCCTGTTATGAGCATAAAATTCCTGACAGTATCGCTCGAGCTCAGTGCGACACCTGTTTCTGTAGTTTACCATAGAGAAAAATGAAAACAATATGGGCAAAATATGGGGGTTCAAATGTTCACAGCTGGCAAGGTGTTTTTGTGTTGTGTGCTGTTTGGGCTGTTGACAGTGTGCACACCACATTACAAAAATAACATTACATACATCAATCAAATCCTAACGCCTTTCTGGTATAACAGCTCCCCCAAAAACTGAGCCTCCGCAAGTCCTGAAGCCTCTTCGAACAAAACCAGACTCAAGATGTCCTCTAAATAAGCAAGTACAGTCTTAAGAAATGTGTGACTGAGTCTGTAGCATGCCACTTGGGCAAGATACCACAAAAATTTAGTATTTGATCTTGCATGGGAATCATATCATCGAAGAGCTGAACCTTTGACATAGCATCTTCGATGATAGTGACATCCCCCTTGGTTGAGCAGTTGTCGACGAGCAGACTCTTGGTATATGTTACGACTTGGGTGGTATCTGTTGGCGACGCTCAAACAGAGCTTGTGTCGTCAACGGTCGAGGATGTCCTTGGGCTAGCCCAAGGTTAGGGGTCTTACTTGGCGAGGCTTTGGCAAGTAAGATTTGATGCCTATGTCCAAATCGGGTAGCTTATGTCACGCAGTTGCGAAATGATAAGCTATATCGGCCTAGGCTTACGACACCCGAAGGTTAATCGTAAGGATCGTCATTAATTAGAAGGACAGAAGTCCGACTAGTTAACAGGGGCTTTGCTTGTTGACGAAGTCGATGAGTAAAGATCGAGACTATAGGCTTATCCGCGAGGAGCAGATAAGAAGATAGAATATAGACTGCTGGCGAGGCAGAAAGGATCACTCTGGTGAGAGTAGGAGGTCAAGAACCAAGTAGATTCAAGTTAGAGAATATGTTACATGGTAGCGAGTTTATATAGAGGACAGGAGACGTATTAGTGGGTGATAACTCATACTACCAAGAGAAGCAATTGGTAAAGGGTGTAACTATAAAAGGAAAGCACGTTCATGTTGAGACATGGGCGAGGCAGAACATGCTAGATAAGAAAGTGAGTCAAAGGTCGAGATAAGAAGTGAAATGCGCAGGGGCACGATCGTGCAGCTGTGGAGCTATCTATAAGTTGCATGTGCGACTGCGCACTGAGTCAGAGATCAAAAAAGGGAAAAGGGCAAAGGGGATGCATCGTGCATCATATCATAGGTTACCGTCCAGATGGTAAGGGTAAGGGGACTGTCCACAGGATCAGTCAGGTGGTGGAACGGAGCATGGGTATGCTTCGTCAGCAAACGGATCCGGCCAGATGTACTGGCTCTGCTGAAGCGACAGGTAGAGAGCAAAAGGGAATGCGAGGATGACAAGGATGACAAGGGTAAGGTCGGGGTAAGGGTATGACGCGAGGGCTGATACGAGGAGGATTAGGAGAAAAATGGTAGGGGCCCAAGTGTCTAGATGTTCTTGTAACATTACCCCAGTTTCTAGGACTGAAATCAACGAGTTCAGTTATCCATGTTGTCATACCAAGAGGGGTCGCAGTCAAGGTCACGGAGTGCATCCATGGCTTCTAACGCGTTCTCTTCTCTATCTTGCTCAAGTCGTGCAGCATTGTGATCGTATGCTGCTTCTAACTGACACATGTCAGTGTAGAACATTTCGGAGGAAATTCCTCGACGAAGGATCTTCTTGCCATGAAGGCGAGGGCAGAAGGGGGTGAGATGTCCGGGGGCGAACCGTCCACAAATGCGGCAAAAATATCGCTCGCATTGTTTCTGTTTGTGGCCGTACTGGTGGCAGACCCTGCACTTAAAGTTGCACTGGTAGGGTTGTGGGGTCGTCCTAGTGTGCGTATTGTTAAGTATCTGTTGCCTAGTGGGATCCTGGCCCGGTACATGTCGAGTGATGGGTAATCCGAGTGCAAGGATGCGCTCGGTATTCAGTCGGCGACTTCGTCGAGGGGTACGTGTGGGTGGAGGGACAGGGATAGGGGTATCGTCCCTGATGATAGGTGACCTGATGGATAATATCGGTATGTCATCGGTAGAGGTGAACCCTGGAGGGGGAGTGGTAAGACGAGCTTCCAAGCTCGGTTTGTCTTCTTCGTTCGTCTTTCTCCAGGGTGGTGTCCGAGTTTCCATACTCGACTTTTCTTCTTCGTGCTTCTTCTTCCCTTTATAGGGAGCAGGTAACGGGTCATTGGCTACGACCTCGTCGTTGATGATGGCAGCTCGGAGTTCTTTGAGCTCGTCGCTAGTCATCATTCTGTACTGCTCTTCTTTGTGTTCTGCGAACATTCTGTCGATTTCTTAGGATGTGAGGTTGGTGGGGATAAAGTTGGATCGTTCAGGAGGAGGAGTTGGAGCACTGCACTTGGCAGTACGCTCGACAACGGATGCCTGTACAGGCGGTTGGTTGTATGCGATTTCTTGTTCTATCTTGGCGACTATGTCGCCGAAATTCCTAGATGCTAGAAGGTTCAAGAGGGACCTCTTGGCCTTCGTGACGGAGTATCAGGGTGATCGGGCTAGGGGGGAAGGATACTGTGTGGTCCGGTTGTGAAAGTGATAGTGTCAACTGCCCGAAAGGCATTGACAAGCTCCAAGAGAACTGTGTCTTTGGTACGGTCAATAAAGCTATCGAGTCGAAGCGCGTACTGCGCGTCGAGAATAACGGCCTCCCAGAATGCCTTCTGAGAGTCTGGGGTCTGCGTGAAAGGAATGGTGAACTCGTGGATGAGTTCGACGATAGAGGGTGTGGAACCGAGGGAGAGGGAGGAGGCATTGGACGAAGTGGTAGACATGGAGATGATGGTAGCTGGTTAACAACTGAGGAGCTTTGTTGTCAGCTTGAGTCTCTTCTTATAGTCCTCGAGCATCTCCGCTGCGGACTTCAGTTCCTTCTCTGGGATCCACGTTTGTTCAGAGGGTGGGTAGCCAACCCAGGAGACCAGGTATTGGTGTTTCGTTCCGGTACCCCTGTGTTGGAGGATCGCTTCTATTTCGTAATGTTCTTCCCCGTCGATCAGGTCCGGTGGCGGTTCAGTATAGTTCGGGCCATGCACGTCCGTCTCCTGATAGGAGGATAATTCAGATGCATGGAACGTGGGATGAACACGCCAGGTGGCAGGGAGTTCGAGGGTGAACATGATAGGGGAAAGGACCTGTTTAACGGTAAAGGGTCCGTATCGTTTTGGTGTGAGTTTCTTTGAAGGGAAGTGGGTGATCAAATGCGCAGCAGATAGCCACACCTTGTCCCCAACCTTCCAAGGTTGGTACTTTCGCCCGAACGTGCCGTTCT